ATACGTCGTAACGTCGGAGGAGAAGACCAAACATTTAGAGTTGATTTACGACACAAATGGTGTGATTGTGGTCGTTTTCAGGCATGGAAATATCCATGTGCTCATGCAGTCGCTGCATGTATGTATGCTGGTGTAAGCGCATACACTTATGTTGATGAATGCTTCCACCTACGTAGGATATTAAATGTCTACAGCTATGTGTTCAGACAGATCCCGAATGAATCATATTGGCCCAAAAAGGATCATGATGAATGGCTACCAAATCCAATGCTTCGCAGAAGTCCAAAGGGTCGACCTGAGTCCACTCGAATTCATACCAGTATGGATTTTCATGCTAAAGAGAGAGGTCAAGCAAAGAGATGCGGATTATGTAGAGGTGAAGGCCATTCAAAAAACAATTGTCCTAATTTACCAAGATATAGGCCTCATCATTAGTAATCATATATGTATTTCTATGTATTTATTAATCATTATAAAAATGATTTAATAATGATTTAAATATTTAATGATTTGATGATTTAGTAATGATTTGATAATAATCATTATAGTAATGATTTGATAATAATCATTATAATAATGATTTAGTAATAATCATTATAAAAATGATTTAATAATGATTTAAATATTTAATGATTTGATGATTTAGTAATGATTTGATAATAATCATTATAGTAATGATTTAGTAATAATCATTATAAAAATGATTTAATAATGATTTAATATTTAATGATTTGATGATTTAGTAATGATTTGATAATAATCATTATAATGATTTTATAATAATTATTATGTTATTATTTAGTAATTATTTATAATAATGATTTAATACTAATGATTTAATAATTATTACTAATAATTATAGAATACTAACAAAGTAGTGTACAAGTGTGGATTACTGAGTTTAAATTTATACATAGTCGAATTTATTAATGATTTTTAAATATTTAATGATTTGATACTAATGATTTACTAATTATTACTAATGATTTAATACTAATTATTTGATACTAGTAATTATTTGATACTAAACATCATTGTTAAGGTTAAAAAAAGTAGTCTAATTTCAATAAATAATTTGTAATAAATAGCAAACGAGTTTACAATTGTTGTCGATGTCGGGGTGTTGTTGAATGATAATGTCGTGGCGGACGTCTGATACGTTGTGGCCGTTGTGGCTCAGGAGTATTGTACTCATCCCCCTCATTCATTGGGGTATTTGAACTGTCATGTGTTCAAAGTCATACGTCGACGAAAACGTAGGAGAATAGATGGGTGCCTCAGGCTGCACAAACTCTGGTATGTATGCCGGGCCAGTAGAGTCATCAACTGCGTGATGCAACGATTGTGGTGCACTATTATCCACATCGGTCATTTCCGCTTCAGTTTGTAGAGATGAACTCCCACTCCCACTCGGTAGAGAGTATTCAGCTTTACCAAATCTTTTCTTAAACCTCAAAAATTGTCGCCTCTCTACTATTGTTGTGAGGAACGGCTTTCCATTATCCAAAAAATAAGCAAGGTAAGCCGAAGTCTCAAAATTAAAGTCGTCGTCTTGAATGGCGTCAAGAGTTGGCATGAATGAAGCCCTATTGTTCCAAGCATTAATGTAGGTTGCATGCTTCTCAACCCAATTAACGCTTTCTTTACGACGACCATCAAATCTGTGCAGGTCGTCATGCGTCTCAACCCAATTCACTGGACGACGACCATCTAAGTTTTGGAGGAGGTCATGATCCCATGGACTCCGCGGAATAGGTTGGTGGAAGTGGAATTGCCTCAGCACTCTATCCCCAAATTGGATCTCAACAAAAGCAAAATTGATCAATGGTGTAACAGCACACCAATATTGAAACCCATCTAAAATATCGTGCGGTATCAACGCAAATAATTCTTCATTCATGTATGGTCTCCAATTAAACTGTAAAATTACAAAAACAATAAAATTTATTTAAATTAGATAATATAGTTAATTAATAATAATTAAAAAATACAAATTATGCATACCTCCTTTTTGGCCTTAATGTCTATCTTCAACCTGAACTCTTTAATGTTGTTGTGCACCAACCCTGTGCCTTCAATTTTATGCCTCCATCTGTATATCAATCAAAACAAAAATAGAGACATTTTGTTCAATAATTTTAATCAAAATAAATATTTTTAATTAATATTTTATATTAAAATAGAGGATTCATATTACCTTCCGGCAAGTGGAAAGTCAACCGCAGTCCGACTAATCGGTGTCAAAAACGGAAGTCTATGCCAAGCCCATGATTGTAGAAGCAACAGACATCCACCGATTTCTACTGTATTATTATCATTCACGACTAATGACGCCTTGCACATCTCACGATACAAGAACGCCAATATCGCCGAACCCCAGCTATATTGCCTACAATTCTCAAAATTTGTTAAAAAAAGAAGATACTGAGTGTGAACATAACTACCGGATTTATCAGGCATCAAAATTCCCCCAATCAATTGTAATATATATGCTCGTGTTGCATATATAATTTCGTGCTCCGTACTATTTGATTGAAGTTGAAATTCATTCTTCAACCATGACAACCTCACCCGCCACCCTTTACACTCTGGTGGTACGGGCGCTTTCCCAAGAAACAAGTTGCAAAGTTGTTCCACCTTATTAAACTCATGTGACATTACCACCGGCATCCCATTAGTTTGGACCCCGAGTTGCATTGCCACATCCTCCAAAGTTATCGTGCATTCGCCACACGGCAAATGAAACGTGTGCGTTTCTGGTCTCCAGCGTTCAATCAACGCACTGATCAAACCTGGGACCAACTTGTAATCTCGCACAAATGTGATATACCAAAATCCAGCCTCTTGCAAATTTTCTTCTATTAGTGGGTGTGGCTTGGGCACTTTATGTAGTCGAAGACGAAGGACTCGCTGCTCGTCCTCCTACAATTAAATATTTCAAAAAAATTATCACAATCATAAAAATATTTAAATATTTATTAATTATAATTCATTAAACAAATATTTATTCACCATTATTCCCAAATGACTTGAAATATGTTCATTGTCAAGCCTCAACAGTGGAATTTGGTCAGCCATTGGAATGAATCTGTAAAAAAAATTAAACAACAATATTTAAAAAATCATTTAATATAATCTAATATAAACTAACTAACTAATTTACAACACTAAACTTTAATATAATAACTTATAATATAATAAACTAATAAACTAACAAACTAAATTTTTAAAATATAAGTTAAACGTAAACACCAAACCCTTAAACAACTAATAAAATATTTTTTTATATAACTAAAACTAACTAATAAACTATTTTTTCATTATAATATACTACTAATAAACTTACTAACTAATTTTTTATATAATATATTCAACAAACAAATATAACTTAACTATTTAACTAACAAAACTAATTAAATAATTTTTTTTATATAACTAACTATTAACAAAACAAACTAATTAATTATTTTTAACTATATAACTATCAAACATATACTAATTAAATAATTTTTAATTTATGTATACTATAACTTAAACTAACAATCATATAACCCTAAACTAATAAACTAATTAACATTTATAATAATAAACTAATTTAAATATAAACAAATTTACCTTATCTCCCTTTCTTCTTCTTACTTTCCTTTCTTTCTCCCTTTCTTTCTTTCTCGGCTGCAATCTCTTCTCCCTTTCTTTCTTTCTTTTATGTGTGATCTTTCTTTTATGTTCTTGCAATTTGCACACCCATATATAACCGGCTGCCTCAATTATTTCACCAACAATGGTTCAATTATTGTGCATGCATGGTCTCGTGAGCTAGGATCACATGGCATGCTGTAGGCATGCAGCGGGGAGCAGGAGCACGTGAAGTTATCTTGGCATGCATGCAGGCATGCAGCGGGGAGCAGGAGCACGTGAAGTTATTTGGCTGCATGTGCATGCATGGTCTCGGGAGGCAGGGGATGCCGGGGCGACCTACAAGGTCGCCGGGACTACATGGCGACCTACAAGGTCGCCGGGACTACATGGCGACCTACAAGGTCGCCCAGACTGCATGGCGACCTCTCTATTGGCTGGCTCGTTTGCATGGCGACCTCTCCGTTGGCTGGCTCGTCTGCATGGTGAGTATATGGCTTGTATGGCTCGTCTGCATGGGTATGGCTCGTCTGCATGGTGAGTATATGGCTTGTATGGCTCGTATGTCACTCGTATGTCTCCCGTATGTCGCCTGGATTGCATGGCGTCCTACAAGGTCGCCTGGATTGCATGGCGTCCTACGAGATCACTGTAGAATTCACCCCATACCAGCAATTAATCTGAAATGTGCATTATATCGTGAATAAAAAAAATCGAGAACATTATCTCGTGAATTCACCCGTTTTTTACCTATCCCTAGATACAATCATAAATAAAATTACCTTATAAAGTAATTAAAATAAAATATACTACAAATCATTTCATTATCTTTTCATTTACAAATAATTTTTTTAAAAATTTATAATTTAATCATTTTATTAAAATATTATTACAAATAAATTATTATATATTTAAAATTAAAATGACGTCTAATGTGTTGTAGCTCAAAAAATTTATATATTTTATCAAATTAGTAATGAAACAAACGACCTTAATGATTAAAGATTATTATTATTCTTTAAATTCTTGAGTTCGAATATAACACTTACAATGATGTATGAACATACGTAATCAAATAATTAAATCTTTCAAATATATTCTACTTTGTATTCATCCTAAATTAACTGTTACGGCAAAAAAACAAAATTAGTTTTGGTGCAATACCCTGAACCGAAATACTTGCAACTTAAAAACGCTTTCCAGTTAATGTACAACCAGGTGTGAGACCACTGATTATTCAACATCCACACACTGTCGGTAGCCATTGTTGATTTCTTAAGCTTTCAAAGTTGAAACTTCCCCTTTACACATACCTTTCTCGATTATCCTCTCGCTTGCCATTGTTGATTTTCATTATTTATTAGTCTTCAAGGTTGAAACCCCACCTTTAATTTATACAAATACAGTTCCCTTGTCTTCCTTCTCCACTCAAAAGCTCCAACTGATAAACAAAACTGCAGTCTCCACCTTCTTTTCCGGTCACTTACATCCGCCGAAAACTTTCAAAAAAGGCTGCGTCCGTTAAGATCTTAATGCTTCCAAAATCCAGCACCGTCTCTGCAAAGCTGAACTCAATCGAACGCACAAGCTCCTCCAACACACAACAAACGCCACCTTTTTCCTTTGTATCACGCATAAATCGCTTATGGCTACTCCTTTTCATCGTCTCGCTCCAGATAACCATCCTCTTCATGGCTCGTTCCCTCCCTTTTCACCACCGCCGAACCCACCTCGCCGACCCTGAACCCGACCCGTGCTCCTCCGGTCGTATCTATGTCTACAACTTGCCGCCTGTTTTCAACCAAGAGTTGTTGAATAGTTGCGATGAGCTGAACCCATGGAGTTCGAGTTGCGAAGCATTATCCAACGGTGGGTTAGGAAGGAAGGCCGTCGGATTATCCGGCGTTGTACCGGAGGAGTTGATCCCCGCTTGGTATTTGACTGATCAGTTCGCCATGGAAATTATTTACCACAACCGTATCTTAAACCACAAGTGCCGTACCATAGATCCTAATTCCGCGACGGCGTTTTATATTCCGTTTTACGCCGGACTCGCCGTTGGGAAATACTTGTGGTCCAATTATAGTTGGAAGGATCGTGATAGGTACTGCGACATGATACTGAAGTGGGTGCAGGATCAACCGTATTGGAACGAATCCGACGGATGGGATCATTTCATGACGATGGGGCGCATCACATGGGATTTCCGGCGAACCAAAAACGAAGACTGGGGCACTAAATGCATCTACATACCGGGCATGAGAAACATCACGCGTCTCTTGATCGAACGGAACCCCTGGGACTATTTCGACGTCGGTGTGCCTTACCCCAGCGGATTCCATCCTAGGTCAGACTCCGACATCTTCCGATGGCAGCACTTCGTCCGCAACCGCCGCCGCAAAACCCTCTTCTGCTTCGCAGGAGCGCCGCGTGGGGCGGTGAAGAACGATTTCCGAGGCTTGCTGTTGAGCCAATGCAAGAACGCGTCCGGGTTATGTCGGGCGGTGGACTGCACGAGTGCTCGCTGCTCCAACGGCACGTCGGCGATCCTCGAAACGTTTCTGGATTCGGATTTCTGCTTGCAACCCAGAGGCGACAGTTTCACCCGCAGGTCGATTTTCGATTGCATGATCGCCGGGTCCATCCCAGTTTTCTTCTGGCATCGATCGGCTTATCTCCAGTACCAATGGTTTTTACCGAGTGAACCGAAGAGTTACTCGGTTTTTATCCACCGGGACGAGGTGAAAAGCGGGACGAGTATTAAAAACGTGCTTGAAAGTTACAGCAGAGACGAGGTGAAGAAAATGAGGGAGAAAGTGATTGAATACATTCCTAAATTAGTTTATGCAAAACCCGAAAAGGGTTTGGAGAGTATAAAGGATGCTTTCGATGTCGCCATTGATGGAGTTTTGAAGAGAAACAAGGAGCACGAGCAGCCCGGTTACAAGTGGAGACGATGATCATTGAAGCTCACGGTGAAAAATAACAAGCGTGGAGAATATACAGAATTATATAGATTTTATTTATTTGTTCATTTTTAAAGAACGACACAGAGGCATATCTTTATTCGACATTGTTGCATTTATATTCGTGTATATAATAATAATAATAAACACCCGTAATATTATATTATTTTCATTAAACTCATCGGGTATAGGTGGTTGTTGAGGCATGGGAAAGTGTTGGGTAAATTTTGTATATAGAAAGAATTGAAAGAAGAAGCTTTGAACATCTTTAATGGCGGACCTCTAAGGAAGAAAGAAAGGAATCTTTAATTGCATTAGCTTTGTTTTAAATAATTAGTGAATCAAATCCACCCCAAAAAGGAAAAGAGAGTAATATTAAAATACAATCTCTTTGATGGAGTCATCGTTTATTGAAGCAACGACAATCCATGAGCCTGACTTGTAAACGACAAATGTTTTTATTGCAAATGACAATAATTCAGAGTTCAAGTACCATTTCAAGGGATAAGACATTAGAATGATAGTTGTTAAAAAACAAGATCAGCCATCTCTCTCCATTCATGTGCTAAATAGGATGGTTGGTTGTCATCTGCAAGTGAAAGGAGATCGATGAATCTATTTGTCTTAAATGTGTGTCGAGAGATGAAAGCCACATTGTTTCTCTACCTTTGAGAATAAAATTATCAAATATTGTATTACTTGACATATTAATGAGAATGTTGTGTTACATTGTTTGGTTTATCTAAGAGGGAGACAAGACTACATTGTTTGGTTAGAGAAATAAAATATTACTAGAATGTATATTTTATCAAATTATCCTTGTGACATGTTTTCTGTTTAACAAGTTAAATTATTAATATTAAAATAAAAATATTTATATAATAAAAAATATAAAATATATTATTTCATTATTTTTTAAATAGAATTGTTAAATATTGAAGTTAGTGATGGGAATGGAATTCTCCAGAATTTAAGAAAAAATATTATAAGTAATGCTCCATTACCTCTTAGAAAGAATGTTTTTAAATTAAATATGAGTATGTGATTCCGAAAAAAATTATTCGTTTCATAATAATTTTTTATCCGTACGCCCTTTTGGTGACATGTTGTCTAGTAGGCCGTTGTTTGCTTTCTCTTTCTCGGTGCGTAAGGCCTTGTAGGCTGTGTAACTCTTTGGGCTTTAAGCATAAGGCAATCTATGTAATTATTTAATAATTAGATTTTAAATAAGATGTTATTTCACATTCTTCATTTTTAAATAAGAAAAAATGATTTTTTTTCTTGAAAATAAAAATAGAAAACGTTTTCAACAAATCAAACGGGCCTTAATATCATCAATTAGATGTTCCAAGATTGACACTAATTGATTAGTCCCTCTAAGACACGTAATAACCATAAACGAGTTATTCTCAATTCCAGCTTTTGGAACTCAAGGTTCAATTAATCGTCTAAGCATCCCAAAAGCATATCTGTGGTCCATACGGCAAACAAATCGAATTTGTTCTGTGTGCAACAGAACTGTTACTTCCTGATCCTATAATTTATGTGAACTTTCAGTTTCATGAATTCCCACACACACGAATGTACCATTTATGCGAACCTCCAAGTATGCGAATTTTCAGACACACGAAGCGTACACGCTTCCATGATGATATATATATATATACACACACGCTTATAAGTTACAACAGGAACTAAAATAAGCACATCAATGTAACACTAGCAGTGATAGTGGATACAACATACAAACAACATTATTCCTGCAAGGAATACCATTTCAGCACCGCAATTCTACCTGCTGCTAGGAACAGCGATTTTCCGGCAATCCCAATCCCAGGAACAGTTCAGTTTCTACCTCTGAATTCTGCCTGCTGCATGTTAGAGCTTCGTTCTGTTCAGGTGAATATGCGTTAGATACAGGCATGCTTCTGAATATGTTGGGTTTAAGCGTTCGAATAATTTGATACCAGTAGTTTAAGAGAAATAAAAAGCCCGGATAACTAGACTATATGATGTTTTTGGAGTGAAATAAAGATCACCTTTGCAGATAACTTTGCATTCTCTTCTCGCATAAATCTTTCCTGGATTGAGATGAGAACAGGAAACATTATCACATAAGACTGCCTTATAAACATGTAACTGTTGCATGTTTGTATAGCCAGCACACCTTATCTTTTAGTTTCTCTATCTGCTCCTGGAATAAATGGCCCTGGAACATATATGACATCACAAAATCATTATCTTAGTTCGATTAGGGTTTCCATTCATATATATAGTATAAGGTATAACATGTTGCAGAGCTAACCTTTCTTGCCCTAATGCTTCTTAAGCTTCGTTCGAGCTGGCTTTCAACTTCCTTAAGTTCCTCTATAGAGCACGAACCAAGATTTTGACCCAACAGCTTTCTGAGACGACAAAAATCCAAAGTTCAGACAATCTCTTTATCTGTAAGAACTAAGAATTGGTTAATAAAGAATATGTAAAAGCCTAATGAAGCTTTAGCCTAATTGTAATTATACATGTAACTTAAAGAAGCAGGAAGAAACATTTGATTAAATGATTTACTTTCGAGAAACTTCAAGATACTCGATCTTCTTAGCCATGCTTTCTGCTTCAAGCCTTAGTTGCTGCATGTTAAAACGCATAGGTAAACTAACAAGTCCGTATTTATTCTTCTTTATATTAAAACAAATCAATTTTAAAATTCATGTTAATATTTATGTTTCATATACAGAAATTGAATAACAATGAGGTCTAACCTGAACGTATAGTTCCATGTCAGGGACGTCAGTTTGGACTTCTTTAATACAATTGTGATATCGTTCTATAGTCTTCTGCATGTTGCTACACCCGAAATACAAAAGAAAAATCAGTTCTTGAAACTAATATACATACAAATACAACCCGAAATACATGATTATTATATACACGAAAGCACCGTGGTACTTAAGTTACCTGAGAGATTTTGTTGTATATCTCTTTTCTAGCTATTGCATTCCTTCTTTTCTAGATATGATTTGCTAACTTAGTGTGCATGCGGTGAGAATGCATTTAAGACAACTTTAAATATGATCGGAGTAATAGTAATCAAGTCAGTATATGTCTTCCCTATATTTCGAAATGTTAGTTTATTCTCAACATAAAATCTTATGTTCGTCCTTATAAATAATCGCTTGTGAAACTCCAAAGCAAGGATGGGTAAGTTGAAGGAGAGAATTTCAAGTTAGAAAGAAAATCAGATAGGAACAACTAATGAACTTGACAGCACACAAGTTGAGAACTTGGAGATAAAGTGCAAACAGTATTAAATTGCGGTCACAAACGTAATGTAACAATTGCATCGTAACATTTTCAAGGTCACTACGACACAGCAAACCACATTCGCAATATAAAATTATTGTTATTTTTAGGAAATAAATCACGTCGTAACATCCGTAACCATGACACCGTAACCGCAATTTAGTACTATACAATGAAGTTATTGTGAAGTATTTAGAGAGGATTATGGCCATTATCAATAGCAAAGAAGTGTAAACCAAGTAGGAAGAACATGCTAATTAGGGTGCATTTCAAGCTAAGAGAAAAGAAAAGGCAACTTGAATAACTACAGAAACAAGAACCTATGTTGCTCTGGACTCTATATTTTTCTCCAAGTACCCATGTCCGACACATGTATACGAACATAAGATGTATTTATTGAAAATCTAGTCATTGAACCAGAACCATATCAATTTTGTGACTTGGTTCCAAGAACCACTTGCTAGGCTTGGAAACCCTAAAAGACAATCATAGACAGAAAAGTAAAAACATATGAATATAATAAGGATTCCTAGGACTTGATCATAGAACTCATATACCCTTTTGCTTTTGTTCTTTCCAAAAAAACCAACAACAAACACACACCAAGTGTAAGATTGCCAAATAAGGTAGTCATGTCAAAGCCGAAAACATCCACCATAAATGTGCAGATTTCGAAGATTGTTCATAAAATCAATGACAGAATAAACAATATAAAACGTAACCGGCGGTAAAGATTGAGAAGGACCACACGAGAAAATTTCTTACTTTCATGGAACAACTACTGTATATCAAAGACATCATGGTCCATCCATCATCATCATCATCATCATCGTACACTAGCCCTCAACAAATGCAACTAACCATACTTTATTGCTACAACAAGCATTCCAGCAAATTTCTTGAAAATCTAGTGAGGAAATACAAAAAAAAAAAGGAAAATTAATGAGGGAACATACTTAGAACTTGAGAACTCATAGAGTATTCCTTTGTGTGAAAATATGATGACAGCAACTTCAGCATCGCAGAGAACATAAAGCTCGTAAGCCTTCTTCAACAGCCCGTTTCGACGCTTGGTGAAGGTCACTTGCCGGCTTGTTGCATTTTCAATTCGCTTCATCTGAATTTTTCCTCTCACCATTTCCTACTTTTTCACCATGAGAACTCAAGCGTTTAAAACAATGCTGCAAAAACCCTAAAAAGCTGAAAACAGATAGAGATTAAGAAGAGAAGTACTTCAATACTTCTTCTAGATGAACCCAGATATAAAGGCCAAGTACGTATAGATATTCAATAATACCCAGAGATATATAAATGGAGAAAATAACACAATTTTTTAGAGACAGATAGATAAGAACCCAGTACCTCACCAGGGAAATTTTTTCCAGTGGAATCAAAACTTAAGAAGAAGAAGAAGAAGAGGAGGAGGAAAGGAATAATCAGAAACCCTAAAAAGATTAAAAGAACAAAAAAGACGATAAATTTTCAATTTTTGATATATCAATCTCTTTCGTTTCAAACCACAAACTCAAGCATAGTTCTCTTTATGTCTACAAATATTTCTTTAGGGTTTGAAAACAGAAACAATAGAATGATGATTGATCTCTAAATCCCAACCTTTTTTTGAAAAAAAGTGTATGATTAATCACAAAGCAAGACAAGAGAAAGACTGGGTCAGGGGTTCATCTTTGTGGGTTTTTTTAGTAAAACTAAGGAAGAAGAAGGGAAGCTAAAAATATTAGGGAAAAATAAATAAAAGGTCCCTCAATTATAGGGTATTATTTTTTAGAGTTTTCTGATTATTAAAAATTACAAAATGATTATCTAACTACATGATTTGCTTTGTTGAGTATTTTGATTATTAAAAGTTATAAAATGATCACTCTACTATTCATATATTCTAAACTCATCATTTTTTGGTAAAAAATTCACAGTCATCTGAGCTGGACGTTAACATGCTAACTGAGATATGGTAATCGTTTGAGATTTTGGGATCATTTTTTAACATATATCAATGAGTAATTTAACGTCCAGTTCAGACTACCATCATTTTTTTAACGAAAAAGTACGAGTTTGAAATATATGAATAGTTCAATAACTATTTTGTAACTTTTAATAATCTGATAAATCAATAAAATGACATCTTATAATCAAAAAACTATTTTATAACTTTTAATATTCAATTCACTTAATAAAATAACACCTATAATCCGGAGACTATTTGTGTTGTTTTCCAAAAGATCAAAAGAGTATCTAGCAAAATAGTTAATAATGCTACTAATGTTTTTAAGAAGTATTCGGACAGAACAAAACAGGGAAGACACTAGGGAAAAAAAAACATCATCGTACATCGACGTGCGGATTCCACCAATGGCGTCTCGAAACCTCAACGTTTCTTCAGTGGGAAACGGGGGCCTGGTGGCAGACATGTCACGTGTCTCATCCAGAAAGAGTTGCTTTTGTTGGCCTTTTTAATGCATTTTATTAATTTAATTAACTTTCTTCCGGTTTATTTTGCTACCTATGGTTATAAGGATTTTGTAAAATGATCACTGAATGTCATAAAATAGTGACAAATCTCAAAAAGGTTAAGGATTGTTTTATAATAGTATGATAAATTGAATGATCATTTTTTAATAGTTTGATAAAGTTTAATGACCACTTTATAATAGTTTGATACATTTTATTATTTTATAACTGATTGAGAAACTGAATGATTGTTTTGAAATTTTTTAAACTTTAATGATATAATTTAATGATCAAATATATATTTTACTCTCTTTTATTTAGGGAAAAATAAAGTGTGGGACAATTCCTAACCGAAAGGGAAACTGTGATTGGTTAAGAAAATAAAGGAAATTAATTGGGTGGAATAATATAGTCGAATGTGGTCGTGAGATCGAGTCTCACTGAGGGCAATTCATAACGGAGGTCTTCCACGGAAGCTGCCCTCAATCTGGCGTTGAGGGCAGACTACTATCCTAGCTCCCCTTACCTCATTACATATGAAAATAGGGTCAACTAATTTTTTAATATAATCGAATGTGGGAATGACGTTGTGGCAGATTATTGGGGGCAAAAGTGCCCAGATAACGCTACAGGGAGTGTTTAATTCCCAAACTAACGTGCTCATCCGATTAATTTCTCAAATGGGGTGTTTTATACAGTAAATTTGAGATCTCTCGACGTCTTCAAGGTTGAACCAGATTTTTTTGGCGTCTTGCTTGAGATCTCCCGGCGTCTTCAAGCTTCTTGTTTGGAATCTCCCGGCTTGAGGGTGTTATCAAAGAAAAACTTTAGCTTTTTTACACAAATATCACTTTAACATAAATTAATTACATGTTAGACAATGTTTAAGAATATTTTACGGATCTAGCAAATTTTTAAATACTTTCAATAAATTTTTTATAAATTTTATATAAATTTACTCAGTATATAATTCACCTAAAATATCAGTGGCACAACACTTAATGATGTTTCTATTATAGCCCATTCTCTTTCTTTTTTACAATAATATTTTAACACCAAAAAGTATCGGTCAAAAATATACCGAAACTTTAGTATAATGTATGATAAAATATATAAGTTTTTATTTTGTACAATTTAATATTAAATTTCAATTTAATTTAAATTTATAAATTATTAAATCGCTATTGTCGTGCTATTATTTTATGAGTGTCTAAGAAAAAAGAAAAAATATCTCAAAATTATATACAACTTAAATTAAAATTAAATAAAAAATAGTTAAGATATATTTACATATAATATATCGATAAGTGTATTTTACATAAATTTAATGAAAATGAAAGTGTCTTTTATCATTAATTCCATACGTTGTAAGATCGATGTTTATAAGTTCATCTTAAAAGATGTGTATGTCTTGTGTTATATTTTAAAATAATATTTTTTAAAATATTTTATAATTAAATAAATTTATAAAATATCAAAACTTTTCATATTATTTAAAATGGTATTCTTAAAATTTTGTTAGATCCGTAAAATATTCTTAAATAGTGTCTAATAAGTAATTACTTTATGTTAAGTGATATTTGTGTAAGAAAGCCAAAATTTTTTCTTGATTTCACTCATCCAACATCCTCAAGACACCGAAAATCTCAAATAAGACGCCGGGAGATCCCAAGCAAGACAAAAAAAATCTGGTTCAACCTTGAAGACGCAGAGAGATTCAAAATTTACCGTAGAAAACACTCCATTTAAAAAATTAATCAAATAAACATATTAATTTAGAAATTAAACACTCTGTGTAACGTTATCCGGGCACTTTCGCCGATTATTGGGTGTTGAGTCTGATTTGCCATCAGCGCGGAACTTAAGTACAAAGTGGGCCATGGCCCCAAAAGATTTTAATAATTTATTAACAGATCCTTTAAATTTTATTTCTTTTAACAAAATGTATGTACTATATCTAAGGAGAATCACTACAATTTCAAGAGTACTTATACAAAAGAAGATACTCGATCCTTAATACCTGAAGCAATACACAATTGGGGATTCAATCAGTCTTTACAAATGCTATGAATTTTAGTTTGTGCACGCCCAAGCCACCTTACGATCCTAATCCAACACTGGTTGATTAATCCTGCAGATGGTAAGAAGCTCTCCGAGCAACAACTGAGTAGGGACACTCAAAGAAAATGAGATCAAGACTCATCTCTTCCCAACCCCCCCCCCCCCACCACAACAGACAGACACAAGGAACAGAAAGTTCCATGCGGAACAGTCGGTCACGAGTGGGGTCAACCTATCCACCAATGTCATCCACACAATTACATCATGCCTTGAGACATGCATTGCAAAACATATCAGTATGTGCCACACGACCTAGTCCTTTATCATGTTCTCATCCCAAATCTATCGAGTAATGGACCCCCAATCTCTCACCATACCAAAGATGCGAGCTACCTCTTTCTTGAAAACGAAGACCTTCTTCAAGCTCCAACTCACCAACCCTCTCGGCTCAAAACTCCACATATTCGCGCCCTTAATAACATAAACTTTAACCCCCCAAGCAACCCACAAAGAGCCCTCAACCGTAAGCAGCTTTCTCAACAACTAGAAGAAGCATGTTTTATTCCAACAAGCTAAGTCTTTTAATCTCAAATCACCTTTTGACTTGGGGAGTAAATTTGATTCCACCCTACAATAGCCCTCGAATCAACCACATCATGCCCCTTAAATAAAATCATACAAAGATGGTTAATCTGCTTCATCACTATTTTCGGAATAATAAGTTGCCTACACCAAAAATTGACAATACTAAAGAGAATCGAAGGGATCGATTGTAACTTACCCGTTAAAGTGAGTATTCTACTCAATCAATGCTCTAATCTCTCCTTCACACTCTCAATCAAGCTATGGCAGTCTCTATAAATTAACAATACTAAGAGAATCGAAAGGATCAATTGTAACTTGCTCGTAAAACTGATCCTTCTATCTAATCAATTGTAATTATGACCGTCTCTATTCGAGAGCTTTCTCGTAAATAGGAAAACCCCAAGATATCTAATTGGAAGGTGCCCATACTTAAAGCCCGAGCTTCCTTCAATTCTACTTAAGTACTCCTCATTGGAGACACCAGATGTGATGACAAAAGCTATGGGAGTTCCCTGAATTATGTTAAGATGTATCATTAGTTTTAACTCGTTCTATTCACAATTAGCCACGCCATTGGGAATAATACCCTTTAGAGGGCCTACTTAAATGATTTAGGCAATCTTCTACATTGCCTAACATCTGCATATGTTGTGCATCACCACACGTATAGATTTAAACCTTAATCGGTAATAGAAATTAACGAGTCACACCACCCAAGTACAAACTCTTTCTTCTACTTCTTTTATTACTTAATGAGTAGAATATTACAAAGCTCACTGCTTATGATTCTTACATTCAATACCAAACCAACCAACACTATAACAACACACGACACGAGTCAAAACAGCACAAATCAAGCAGAACTTGTCTTGCCTGCTTCAAACCATGAAATATATTTAGCTATCAAAACCAGTGGTTTGGTCCCCTCTCAGCCAAATCAGCACTGCACACACTGTCACATAATCCCACTGTGTTCCAACTATTTCTTCCGGTGCTTTCCGAAATATCTCTCCTGGAGAATCTTCAATCCCATATATCTGCATGCCAATGATTTAATTCAGAAAGCCCCATGATTTATACATACATAAAATCTGCTAGTATTTTTACCTTCCAAGCATCATAACCGTTGATTGAGGATTGGTCCCAGGCGAGGAAGTAAACGTAGATCCATCGACAACCCTTAAGGCATCAACACCGTAAACCTTGTAATCGTAATCGACAACTTTGCCCATACGGCAGCCTCCGTGATAATGCCAAATAGTCATCACGGTGTCCATGCAGAATTTTTCCAAAGATAACGATGAAGCAATGTGTCTCGGTCTCTCATTAAGGGGCAGCATCACTATGAGGTCTAGCAGCGCCTGAGCTGATAAAATTTCGTACCGGAAATTCGAGAACGATGTTGAATATATAGCATCTATAACTGTTCTCATGCCTTTGACACACTTCATCAAGTCCTCTGGTGCCTGGAAATAGTTAAAGATCACCTTCGGGGTGTCATGTGGATTTGTACTTCGAAGCTCGAGATAGCCTGTGGACTTGGGGTCTTTCACTTTCTCGAAAATAATGCCACCTCTTATTCTTGTGTCGAGGAGCGACTCGGGTCTCGGCATCCCTTCTTGAAACAATTTAGTACTGCTCTGCTCAGTCTACATGCTCACCCATGGTAATGGTGTGAGATTTAAACTCAAATATGCAGAGATTTACAGAGGGTGAAAAGTAAAAAACCTTGTTTAAGATAGAGGCTAGTGCTCTAGCAATACTACGGGACCAAGCCGGAGTGAAACTGATTCCACTGCAACCTTCTATGTAGCTACCGAATTTGGTGATGGCAGCGAACGAAACGAGTGAGAGCTCGACAGGGTTCGGAGATGGAACCAAAAGAACATTGAGCGGATTATCGACCAGACTTTGACCCACCATGGAATGGTCCATCACCACTTTGATACCAAATTTCTTAAGCTGCTGAGAAGGGCCTATACCACTTAACATCAGCAACTGTGGGCTTCCGATGGCACCTGCTGATAAGATTACCTCGCTCTTAAGATCTTTCGTCAACAACGCCCAATGTTTCTTCCCCAATTCATCTTCGAAAACGACCCCTTGAGCTCTTGGTTTCGAGAACACTGCGTCGAAAACACATCGTTTTATGCACCAGAAACAATGAGAAATCAGACATATTCTAGGGTAACATAAATAAGAACAAAGTAAGTTGCATGCATACCTTTTGTTTCGAATAGAATCTTTTCTACCGTGGCATGCAAGTACACTTTAATCTTGAATGGATTACCGTACTCAAGCAAATCAGCCGCTGAATGTCTGTGATCATCCCCGTCAAAAATAGTCCCACCAACTTTGGTCCCATAAATATGATCGAAGGTGAACCCGTTATTCGGTAAAACTCCAGCTTCGAGCATCCCGTCTCGCAGAGCCGATTGCCACTGCAACATAGGTGGCCTAAAAGCAACCTTCTTTTCAACCCACCGGTAAGAATAATTAACCAAACCTTCGTTCAAACCAGCTTGTATCAAGAACTGGGGTTCGGCATGCGAGTAAAACCCCGCGTTAATAACCGAACCACCACCGAGAACGCGTGCTCGGGTGTTGGAAACGCCATCTTCCGAGGTGAACTCTTGCGAATACGAACCAGGGGTGTTGTCCAACATATTTGGGAAGAAATTCCCTTTGTCCGGCTTGCCAGGACTTTCGTAGGGAGACCCTCCTCTTTCTAAGATCAAAACACTCGCCCTCTCGGACAATGTCGCCGCCAAGGGACAACCGGCAGTCCCTCCTCCGACGATTATGTAGTCAAAAAACGACACCTCCGGAGCCACCGCTGCTTCATGAACAAAGCTGTAATATGGAGCTGCAAGAAACACAGCAGTTGTTTACGTATTACCATCAAACGCTTACACACACATATATATACTAGTATGGTACTAGGATAATACCTTTCTCTGCGAGAGAGAAGCCATGAAAATGGAAAAGGGAGACATAAACAAGTGGAAGAAACATCCACAGTTCCAAACCCATGTTTTTCCTAACAGCTTGCAGCTCACTAAAACATGGAATATCTATCAATCTACTCTGCTTTTAAATATTCGCAAATAGAAAAAGAGAAAGCTCGATGCACTCTCATTTCCTCTTACTACAAGCCTAACATTCTTTAGGTGCAAAGACTGCCCCCACTGCGTTTTAAGAATTCTAGGTCAACAACAATTAATGTTTTGTGCCTAATGGTAATATAAACTTGTGATAAAAAAGGCTTGTACGAGGCCTGAATTTAATCGCACCCTTAATATAGGCTGCAATTGGCGGTTGAAAGGTATTATAAAGGGTGTTGATGCACGCTGCTCTTACTATTATTCACTAATGGAAACCACAGTAATTCCACCCTGATCCAATTTCTTGGTGTTTTTGGTATGCTCCGCTTATGATCCAAGTCTTATTATATAGAGGAACCAAGCATTATCTGTATTATCAGGTGGATTGTAGGTTCGATTTTATTACGGATACTTTATATATATAAATATTTATTAAAATAACAAATCTTTTGTCATTGGATAATCCGTCAAAGCATGAAAAATTCAGGTGAGGTTAGTTAATACCATGTTATAATACTTAAATATGATTAGCTGGAGGACATGATTTTAAAGGTTGTCTTAATTACATGCAAGAAAACTACTTCTAATCAATATAAGCGGCTGACTATTAATTTGATTAAAAAATAATTTTCAATTTAGTTTCAAAAAGCTTAAATTTCTAATTTTTGCCGTGAAAGATCCTTTTGAGATAAATTATATTTTTATCTTTTATATTATATTTTCAATTTATAATATTTTATCTTTAAAAATTACTCTTTAACAATAATCTCAAACAATAAAACTTTAAATTGTAACTCTCAAAACAATTCTAAAAATACTTTTTATAACCCTTTTTAAAATCAATTTTCAAAATTAATACTAAATTGATTAAAAAATATCTAAAATTGACTTAAGCAGATAAATGGGCCCGGTGGGACCGCATTCGCTTCCATGAGAATTGAGATTACACGAGGTGATACATGTGCGTCTGTTACACCTGCCTCCAGTACAATTATTTAATTTTTGACGTAATTTTTTTTAATTTTTTACATTTCCAATTTCGTATATGAAATGGTATTTCTCAAATTTGTGACAGTAAAATTTGATTTGACTTATTAATCAACTGTTTACTCAGTAATTAAAAATCAAATTTTAAAAAAAATGAGTACAGAAAATAATTATATCTATAATTTAATATTTCAATATATTGAAAATTCTGAGACACTCCATTTATCTATACAAAATACTAGATCCTAAGTTCTTAACTCTCAATCTTTTTATAATAAATAATCCGATACTCGAACTCATAATATTAAGGAATTACAATAAATATTTTAAATATTAAAATCCTTAGACCCGTGCACTAAAGCGTAAATATACGAGTATTCCGTGTCATAAATATATTTATAACCTAAAAGACGAAAACATAAATGTGGCTAATTACATGGGGACCATTAGTAACCTTACGATATCTATTTATGATGAATTATTAGTCCCAAATATGGTAAAACTGTGTTTAAGTCTTTTAAAGTTTATAAATTTATGGTAATGGTTAAATTACATTTTGGTCCTATAAGTTCATTTCATCTCCCTGAAACCTTAAAAATTTACAATTTAAGTTCATCCCAAATTTAATTTTCAATGTTGTTAATGCTCTTAAATTAAATATGGTCATGTGATTCCGAAAAAGATTAGTAATCTAATAATGACCTTTTCTATGAAACAAACACCTCCTGCTTATATTCACTTTCTAAATCAACTTCTAAAACGTAAAAATTGTTCATTAATCCCTAAATTGAAGATAATTTTTTTATAATTCGGGTTGATTACAAAATAATCTTTATTCATAATATTTTTAACAATTGACAACATACACATCTTATAACGTAATTCTTATATCTAGAACCTCAAAACAAAATAATGTTCTCTTTAACAACTGCAACCACTTGATAAATTATGAAGTCAATTTTTGATATGTTTTATGCAGGTTATATTTCATATTCTACCAACAACGACAAACGTGGTTTCCTTTCGCCACATATAATTCAACTGGTGGACCCATATTTTTATGCAAAAAATGTAATATGCCGGCGGTATATGCAATTGCCAACGTTTTGATTTTCGTTCGTTGCCTTAATTTCCCCTCTTTAACTTTAAATAGAAATGAGTTGAAGCGCTTTATTATGATATTTGCTCAAATCTTACTTCTCTAACATTGAACGGAGAGCTATGAAATGAAAACTAAATGCACCAAAATGCCATTAAGGATAAGGAATATGGTTTGATCTCTGTCAACGATAAATATGTGAATAGTCTTCGATGGACGTTAAATCAAACAATTTAAAGATCATATTTTTCTTCTTTAAATCTCTTTCGATATCTTTGTAAGGGTTGGAAGACAAAATCCTGAAACTAAAATAGCACACATGTATTTGAGAAAAATAATAACATTCTAATTGTTAAAAGTTTTAATCAAACAATCGAAAATCCCTCGATTAATGTCGGATCTGTCGATAGTTTCACTCTAACAACTAGTGGTTGCCGACCCAATAGGCAATAGTGCTATTGGGCTTTCGCTTGAACTAATTAGACTATTGAACAGTCAGAGTTGTGCATGTTAAGAGTCAAATTAAGAATTTCCATATAGAATAGCATCTTGGGGTACGTACAAAGTTTGCTATTAACACTTCAAGGATAAGAAATACGTACCCGAAAACAGTATGTAAGCAGCTGGGATCAGGAGATTCAATGGGCTTTAAAGGTAAAAGCTATTGATGGTGTGCTTGCATATAAAATATGGAAAGACAGAAATAATCGTCAGTTTGATAGTTAACAACTTACAGAAATTGAGATCATCCAAATATTAATTGTGCAGATAATGTTAATAGCAAACTCTTTACATATTGGGGTATGATACAGGTTAATACTTGTAGATAGAAATGGATACCCTTGTTTAATTTCTTGTTTCTGAAGGGTATTATATGTTCAAAAATAACTCTCAACCATTTGACATTAAAGGTTCACACCTTTGATATTTCTGATGCTCGAACCGAGACCTCAAGAAATGATAACAATTCAGTTACCACCGAGGTCGTTTGGTTCGTGTGATCAGTTTAAATTCGATTTTCACAATTGGTGACAGTCGATACTTAATATAAGAATGTTCTTATGGTGTTTGAAATTACTGTATTTAGAATATTATTGTTTGGTTTAGTTTTGATGAACTTATCGTTTCCTGGTAACTTTAACTGAATTGTGACTTTTCATTAGGTGTTGATGGTTATTCTTTTTGCGGTTGGTGTTTGGAGGAATGTGAGAAAAGTGGGTGCGTGGGGGAAAAGTGCTTTCAACACTGTAAATTCTCTTCCGATGGGAAACCGATTGATGGGTCGTGGTATTTATAAGAGCCCCTTTAGCAGAGATGGAAACAGTGGGACTGTTATTCCGATTGCCGGAACCATTGTATGGCTGCTAGAGAGGAAGAGAGACGGAAACTCGGTGGAAAACCGGTTAAATATCATGGAAAATGGCCTTTTAAACTTGTCTTTGCGATCCAGGTCCTTGCTGTTTCACCTCTTAGCTTAGTATACTCTCAATTCCATTAGTGAATTGCCTATCAATCTCTAGACTGTGTTGGTTTTTTAGATTGTTGTTCTTGTTACTGATGGTTTTGTTCTGGTGATTTTCAGAACCTGTTGCTGTAGCTTTCTCTGCAACAAGCCTTGCTTTACAGTTTCATGGTTGGATCACCTTTTTTATCCTTCTGAACTATAAGTTGCCTTTGAGGCCTGATAAAAGGCCTTACTATGAATATACTGGCATGTAGCACATCTACATCATCCTTGCGATGAACTTCTGGTTCTGGAGTGCTGTTTGACACATTCGGTGAGCACTACTCTTCGTATTAGTGTAATTTTAGCACACAATGATCCTGAATTGGAAGCTTAGAGAATGTTGACAGTCGTTAAATTTCACTTTATCGATTAGGAGAAAATTTCTTGCCACCAGAGTCCGTGTTAGGTTCTTAGTCATGTAAACATTTTTTGACGACTTTAGGAAGTAAGTTGAGAGATAAGGGTTTGACCATGTTTTCACCATAGCTTGTATAGTTTAACTCGTGGTAACAATAATAGTTCCAATCATGTAAGATGTCGAGTTGACGGGAAGCTAGATTATTCAGCTGCTACCGCGCTCATTGGCTTCAGTTTTATTCTAACAATACTTCAAGCCTTTAATGTGAGAGATGAAGCTTCGAGAGTCATGGTTGCAGCTCCACTGATTGCATTTGTGACAACACATCTTGTATCTGAACTTCTACAAGCTTGATTACAGTAATCCTTTCCTAATTAACCAGTATCTGCCAGACAACATTATTAACAATCTACTAGCCTCGCCACTAGGGCCATGCATTAAGTAAAATTGTGCGAGTGCTGAATCCATTCGATTCGACTAAATTCAGAATTGCATTCCTCAAATGCCTTAAAACTATTCAGGATCTACCTGAACTTTCTTCATGCTCTGTCAGGGACAATGCCGAGTTCAGGACCTTGACACTCCTCAAGAAAATAAAGTGATACTTTTTTTTCATGGAGACGAGTGCTTATTTACCAAATGATGAAATTGTATCGAGTAACAGGACTCACCCATGGTGTAAACACTCATTTTTTTAAAAGATAGAACTAGCAAGAGTTCATTCCTAAGAGGACTCTTCCACTACCATATCTTTTAAAGCAACAACCACACCAACAAACGTGCAACAACAGAACAAGGAGTCTAGTTGCATTAGGATTCTATTGTTAATAGGATTCTAAAAATAGTTAGTTTTTTTTCACTATAAATACATGTAATTCTCCCCATTTGTAAAACACGATTTACATAGAAGATACAGAGGAAAGCACGAAAAAATACAAAGACAAAACTATTGTAAACGATTCGAAAATGAAATAAAAGGTAGCATCTTTTTTTACATTGATTCGTTCATTTATCGCATGTGCATGTTATTTTTCTTGAG